CCCACCACTCAGTGCTTGTTTCCCAAGCCCAAAAGCGGCATTCCACAGTGGTCAGCACCTCTGTGAATGCCACAAGCAATCTCGTGCCATAGTTACTATGCATGGTGAGATCAATGTCGCACTCCTCTTGCCTTTGTAGTTTAAGGAATAAATCCGCTGCCACTCGGGACGTGTTGGTCAGAGCGAGCAGCATACTGAACAACAGTTCGGGATCTATTCCTGCAGCCTGAAGAGGCAGGGCGCGCAATACACAAACTGTTGAAAGATGGTGCCAAATGCGGATGGAAGCAGAGGGATTGCTGGGATGCGAAGCAATACATCACGGGGCATTGGGACAGGACCCAGGATGGCCCACTACCTCTTCCGTCTTCCCACAACTCTTAGCAGCAGAAGAGAAAGAGGTGCTCTGCGGGATAGCTGCCCAGAGTGCACCACTCCAAATATCACTGCAAGTGTCGCAAGTGTGAACATGCTATTGCTCAGGCAGCTGACAGCGTGAACACACAACAGTGGTTCCCAATCAGCACTCTCTGAGCGGCGCGGTAACTCCCAGTGCTGTAGTTCTGCCAGTGTAGACATGCCCTTACTCTTTAGCCTCTCATGTTAGTTGGTTTATACTGTTATTCCTTTACTCTCCCTTGGTGTGGAAACTGCACCAATTTCTACACAGTTGTACTGACTAGCTGACACCTGGAGATGTGATTTCCAACTTGAGGAGAAATACCTGTGCTAGCTCTGGTCAAGCTAGGACACCAGAAACAGAGTGCAGTTGTAGCAGTGTGAGAAGCTAGCCACCCTGGCTGCATACCTATCTGAGACTTTAGGCCTGTACTCGGGGCAGCTAGCCCCTCCTGCTGCTTGCACTGATACAGCTACACTCTATTTTTATCATGCTAGTATGACTATGTCTCTCCTTGAGCTGGGAATTATACACCTAGCTTGAAATGTAGCTGTACCCTAAATTTTACCCTGCATCGTAATGTCTGTGGACAAGGGGGCAGAGTAAATTGACAGCTGCAATCTTACTGTTCACATTTCCTGATTTATGAATGCTTAACTACACAACCTTAATGCAGCAGTAATGTAAGGACTGATTCTGCTGTCATTCTGCTGTATGATGGGGTAACTCCATTGAATAGAATTACAACAGTGTGAGTAAGATCTGATTCAGGGCCATTGCTTTTTTGTGGATACAGATGGAATCCAGTGTATGTGGTGTATGAGCAAGCATACAAGAAGCTGTAATGTGATAATTGCAGGCCTTGGGAGCATGCAGAAGTTCACAGTTGGCTCAGTAGATTTTAAATTTAATGGCAGTGCAAATCTAGAATTCTTATTTGGTGCCAATTGGGGTAAGATTACATCTGACTCTGCTGACATCCTCCCTGATTTGATCACCACTCCCTCTTTGGCCCAGCCAATGCCCAGATAATGATGGTTCTTGTTCCAGTTCTGTTGCTGAGCCGATGCAAAAGAGGAACCAAAGTGTTGCTTATTCCTATTGTTATACTATCCGGGCATTATTTGACCAGTCGTGGGGCAACGCTGTGTGGGGTCAGCTTTTTTTCGCATGCAACTGTTCCCCTTGCTGATTGACATTGCAATAGCTGGATGGTCAGAAAAACATGCAGATGTTAAAATGTACTACAGAAGAATGACTTCTTTTTATTTAGATCTCCGCTACCACTGGGACGGGAGGAGGAATCAAACAGTAAGGAGAAGCAGGCATGTTGTGCACTACTTTACTAAGAGACCAAATAATAGTAACAATCACTGTAAAACTTATATAAAACAAGTTTAAGTTGTGCAAAACGCAACTTTGATCCAGAAAGTAAAGGTCCTGCTTTCTACTGCTGCCTGATTAGGCCCATTTTTACAAGCCATCTTTGCAGGAGAAGAGTTTGGGACTCTGAACTGTGGGATCTGACTTCTATTTGTTCCTGCTGTTTGCACAGTGCCCTTCAGAAAAAGAAGTCCTACAACATACTCGATCGAGCGTCTGGGTCCTGCTGCATGAGGAGTTAAATCTGTCAGATATGCCAAATGTGCATCTCTACGCAGATTTGCCAAATATGCATACAGCAATAAATAAATAAATAAAAAGGCAGAGATGATGAAGCAGAGTGCAAGTACTCTACAGAAAACAGGCACCTGGCTGACCTCCAAGATGCCATGACCAGCACCAATGAAAAAAATGTAATCCTTGGGGATCAGATTTCAGAATTCAGGCTACATGAGGCTTTTTAGGAGCCTCTGTGGCAACATGAGAGACTACGAAGAAGAAATGGTGACAGATCTCAAAAGTTACAAGTATTAAGTGGAGGAACTGCAGGATTGGCCTAGTGTCTGGTATATAGAGAATGTGAAACATTATGTAAGTATTTTTAAGTGAACCTCAACTCCATCCCATGATAATGGCTAGGTACGCACTATATCAATGATACAGGCGCAGAAAACTGTGACTTGCCTGAGGTCACACAGCGGTGAGATGGTAGAAAAGGCATTAGGGTCAACAATTGGTGAATTCTAGACTGTGCTTGTTCCCTGGAGGCTATGCTGCTTCCAATTTGACTAAAGGATAAGTTCTTGAGGGGAGAGCAAGAATCTACTTAGATGCCCTGGATATTGAGGAATAATACAATATTTAGGATTTGCCTCTTGTTTTGGAAATAGTTTGCTTTATCACAGGCCCAAGAGAGGCTCTGGAAGATGATCTGGGAGGACAGCCAGGAAGGGTATCTAAGACATGTTGCAATAACTCAGTTGGATCTGAAAATGAGAAAGCCAAGCAGGATGGCTAACAAGAAAGATATTTCTTTGTTACCCAGCTTATACAGCACAATACTCTTTAACACAGACTCATATTAACAGCTGCTAAGAAAATTGCTAAGGATTTAAATTTAGCAGTGCTTTAACTGATTCCACTATGATACGAGTTATTCTGGAGGTATGTTTTACTGTGCCCACAGAAATGAAGGCTTTCTTGAAGTCTGAAAAGATTTATTGAGGCTGAGGTGGGGCTTGAAACGGACATGGAGGCCTTTGTGACCATATAAGCCTTGTTTTCATTATTAAAAATGTATGCTGTTAGAAAACAATTATGAAGAGTTGAGTTAGCCAACACAATGCTGACCATGACTTTGGCACTGTAGACAGTGTTGTTAGCTAGTTGTGCTGCATCATACTAAACACAGGTTAGTCTACTCTATGCTGACCAGAGTCCTGATCAGTATCATGCAAGTTGATTCAACTTTGCACAGTTGTGTTGTAACCATATAAAATTTTGTACTGAGGACAAGCCTATAGAAATTCTATAAAATGATTTGCTATGTGCTTTCTCTTATAGGTTTCCCATTCCCCCACCCAGCTGTGTAGCAGGTGAGTGTGGTTTGAGAGAGGCTCTGCAAATGGAAAGTGTGGAAGGCAATGTTATTGAGTGTGGAGCTGCCTGTAGCCAACTCTGATCTCGAGGATGCAGGTACTGCTGTGTGAGGGCTATGGCTGCATTAAATAACTGTTGTGTGTAAGACAGGGTGGTCTTGCCTCATTCATTCCCATTCTCCTGAAGCTACAAAATGATAGACCAAATAGCCCTATTACTGCACATATGTACCAATGTACCTGTTTGATATCTGAATATAGTACATTTGAATTTTATATTAGATGTACTATTTCCTCCCTCGTACGTTGATCTATGCACATTTATTCCATCTGTATTAGGTATTTGGACTCCTCAGACAGTTGAGTGGGTTTCACGGTTGAATATTCAGAGAATAATTACTGCACTGGGGGGGAATGACGATAAAAGGATGAAGCTTTTGGTGAATGATGGACCAAAGGCCCTTGGCATATAGTACGTGTAAGTGATTCTGATCCTAATGTCAGTATCAATAGGTATTTGTATTATGGCAGTCTGTGGCTATGCCCACTGTGGATTGGGAAGTTTAATTCCAAAAGGAATGTGAAGTTGTATCAGATGCTCTTCCATGAGCTAGATGGATATGCTCACTTCAGTTTGTACCTTGAATGTGTCTGCATCTATTTCACTATTTAAAAGAAGGATTAATACTTTATTATTTGAAACTGTGCAGTGAAAGTACAATTTGACATGGGACCATGTCATTTCTTTTCCCTTGTTATGAGGAGAGCTGGGCAAGATTTCCTATCCTGCAAAAATCTGAGATTCCAAATATTTTTTCTTTCTGCAATGGGATGAAAGAAAGCCCTCGAAGTTTGTAATGAAAAAATGAGGGAGGGAGGGAGAAAGAACCAACCCATCCCTGAATAGCCAATCACTCAGGGGTTAGGCCACTCATTTGGGAGGTTGGAGATCCAGGCTCAAATCCCTGCTTCACACCAGAGAACTGAGTTTGAGTCTCTATCCTTCCTCCTACTACCCCCTGTGAGTGCTCTAATCACTGGGTATTGACCAGTGGAGTAATCCCTACTATTTTTGAGAGCAAAATGGTGTTCTTCATTCGTGGGGGGTGTGGAAGGGAGGGGGGGGGGTTGGTTCTTTCTTTTTCCCAGAAATGCCAGCCTCTACCTTTCCCCTTTCCTCCCGCCTAGAAACGAAAAAGATTGATTGAAATTGAGACATTCAGACACCCCTGGTTGCAGCACTGACCAATAAAGCATTTTTCTGATGCTCACCCCCAGGACCGCTCTGCTCCTGTCTTCCCCGTGGGCAGGTTCTCTCTCCTAGGTTTGGAGATTCCTTACCAAGATGTTTTTACTAGATGTGAAGTTGTGCTGCCAGAGCCACTTTCCCCCCCTTTCTTCCTTAAAGCCCGCGCTTGTACTTGGTGGTTGATCGACAACCGGTTGGTGCTTTTAAAAAGACAGGGGGAGCCGCCGCCCCGCCTCAGGCCCTCCAGCCGCGGGGCGGGGGCAAACCTCCCCCCTGGCGTTCAGTCCGACCTTGACAAATCGCCGGCCAACTTGTCCCGCAACGCTGATCTCGGCGAGGGCAGCGAGGCTGCTCCCGCCTTCTCGCTGGGGCGGGGCCGGGGCCGGGGCCGGGGCCGGGCCGGAGGATGTTTGCCCGCGGGGCTGGGCGCTGGCAGCGGGGCCGGCGGCTTTCTACTTGGCCCCGGCGCGGGGTAGAGAGCACCTGTCCCACAAGCCGGGAGCCGGCCCCTCCGCCGCGTGATTCCTCTGCCGGCGGGGAGGCGCGGGCAGGGCATGTCCCCGGGCTCCTCCGGGGCCGGGCGGTGCGAAGTTGCGCGCAGCCAGCGCGGCGGCGGCGGCAGGAGCCGGGGGCCGCCCCGGGAGAGGCGAAGGGTGGGCGGCACGGCGGGAGCTGATGGCGGGCAGCGGGCTGGCGGCGAGCTCGCAGCCCCAGCGAAGCGGCGGGAGGAGGGCAGAGGGCAGCAACGCGGACTGGATGGGCTCCCTCGCCCCCGCCCTCAGCACCTTCCCGCTGGCCCATCTGGCCATCCCAGGTAACGCGTCCTCTCTGCGCGCCGCCGCCGCCGGGAGCCAGGGCAGCTCGGCGTGGGGATGAGCCGCCCCCCGCTGCAGCCAGGGGCGTGAGGTGCCCCGGGGGGGGAAGGGAACAGGGCGCGGGTTAAGCCCCCCGGGTCAGTGTGGTGCCAATGTCCCGCGCTAGCCAGCCCGCCACGCGTGCCCGGGCCGGGGGCATTGCGGGGGAGATGCTGCCCTTGGACAGGGATGTCGGTCCTGGGGCGCGCTCGGTGCTGCACAGGGGGGCGCCCCTTCCCGGCCCCGCAAGCGGCTCTTCGCCTCCCGCTGTGCCCTGCCCGGGACTGGCTGGGAACTGCTCAGCGCACGGGGTTCCGGGTCGGGGGGTTTGCTGTTCCTCTCGGGACAAGTTTGGGCGCCTGCACTGGTTGGTTAAAAAGAAACACTTTCCAAACCTCGGGGCTGGGCGCTGGGAGGGGGCGGTGTGAACGCACCTGCGGGTTGCGGGAGGGCAGCCGATTCTTTTGGGGGGCTCACCCCAAGACAAAACCCCTGTGCGAGTGACACTGCTTTCATCACCCAGCTCTAGGAGATCTGAGTAGTACCCCCAAATTACCTTCTCTAGGCTGGGCTGGGGTTGTTTCTGTTTGTTGGGTTTTTTTTTTTATTTTGTTTGGTTTGAAACAACCATTGCCAGCGTTGGTTGCCACTGACTGCAAGGTGTGTGATTAGCTAGGGTAAAATTTAATTTCCGGGGTTATTTACCATCTTCTGCTGGGAGGCGGGGTCAGCTGATCACCAGCTGAGGTCAAGAAACATTCTCTCCTCCCACGCACCTCTATGGTGTATTATTACACAAGAGGGTAAATTATTGAAGAGGGAGTGACCTTCCCTGGGAAGCATCCAGCGCTGGTGGAGCCAGGGTGCTAGACTAGATGAATCATTGTTCTGCTCGGGTAATGCCTGTGTCTGAACACCTTCCGGAATTGAGGAACCTTTAATCTCTGCGATCAATTAACATTCAATTTGGGATCTACTTCTCATCTATAGGTAGTAAAACAGGAATGAAGCAGTCTAGCACTTAAGTCTTTCGATTGAACGCTATATAGGAATTGTTGAGACCACTGTGCCATCAAGTCTAGTACTTATTGCTGACCATAGCCAGTACCACCTGCTTCAGAGGATTATCATATACTAACATGCCCTCACAGAAAGTTTACTCCAATCCCCCCAATAGGTAGAAGTTGGTTTATGCCCTGAAGCATGAGTTTGTATCATTTGCAACATTATTTGTTGTTCTGATATTTATTATGACAATTCTGGGATGTTTTTGTTATCCAAGTAAAATGTACTATGTGCAGGTGGGCTTGAGGGGGAAACCTGCAGTAATTTTCAGGAAAACACTAAATCTCTCCTCAGTTTTCAGAAATAGAATTTCAGCAATGTAAAGCAAGTTTTTCTGTTTTAAATAAAGATTTTAATACTTAAATTTAAGCAAGGGATAGAAAGAGATTTGATGTCTATTGTAACAGGAGTTATATTTTTACATGGTTTAAGCAAGATTTTTTTTCTTTTGGTTGTAAAATTGTGTCTGAATTCCTGTGGGTTTTTTTGTGTGTGTGTGTGTATATATATATATATATATATATACACACACACACACACACACTAACTGACTTTTTAAAAAGTAGCATGGGGGAATTTGTCTGTCTGGTGGGATATGCGGGATCTAAGGTTTTTGCAGGAGGGTGCAGGATAAAAATGCAAGGAACAATGTGGGCATGGGTGGGAGTGAGTATTGCAGGGCGGGATGGGAATGGGATTTTAAAGAAATAGTCCTGTGCAGCGCTCTGGTTGGGTGCTCCGATCCTGTGGAAATTCAGTGAGATTTGGCAGGGGGCAAGCTCCCTTAAACTGTTTCAGAAATCTCAGTCTGAACTTAGTCCCTTCTGGTTTTGTGAAGAGTTCATTAGTCAATCCTGGCTTTCTTCAAATTTATCAGTCATTCATAAGTACTGGCCAGACACTTGGTCCAAATAACTTTAGGCTTACATGTGAGGTCATACAACATTTGCTTCCACTATTCATATTGTGTGTCTGGCTGCCCAAGTCACAAGTTAGTATTTCTGTTCCCGAATGATCTGAAAGCTTTTAAAACAGAGAACAACTAATAATTTACTTTTGTGAAGTATTTTTCAAATGAATTAATCATTCATGCTAAAAATAATGAAACCTGGAATTGAAAAATATTTTCAGTGATGCTTGGTGGCTGCAATACCTCTGAATGACAAGTAATATAACCCCATCTGTCACAGCGAACTAGTGCTTAGACGTTTATGTAAACAGTGCATCTGTCATCTTCCTAGCCAAGCTAGTCATCTTCTCTAGTCCAAGCGAGAGATGTTGTAGATGGATTCTGTTTGTAAAACAGATGGGAAAAAATCGAGAAAGAAATAATAGTAAACAACACATTCAGGAACTAAACCTTTATAGTACTGGCAATGTCTAAAATGGAGTCCAAATATTTAATCAAGTCAGGTTTTGTAAAGGTGAATTCTAGTATTGATATCTGTTTCAGATATGGGAACAGGTGTGAATTTCAAACAGAGATACAAGCTCTGGAAGAATTGGTATTTATCTGTACTGCCTGCCCTTTCTGCTCCCATACCCTTACCTTTAATGTTACTTTTGAAAGATATTTCTCATGTTGCTAAATAGGGCTGGACGCAGGCTGGGGTGATACTTAATTATTAATGCTTATGCTGTGCTTAGCCATGGGCAATACTGATGAGTAATGTAAAAATCATCCCTACTGCATATATTAATTAGTCATTCAATATGAATGCTTTATAGTAGAGACTACTTATGTTGCTCTGTAGAGCAAAGGTCACAATGTAATTGTAAGTCAGCTCAATTTTTATATTCAGCAGACTCAAGTATAGTGGTTGCCATTAAAGTATCATCTCTTATTCCTATTTTTCAATTGCACAGTCTCATTGTATTTAATAATCCAGCTCTTATATAGCACCTTTCATCTGTAGATGCCACAGCACTTTACAAAGCAGGTCAGAATCAATTTCCCCATTTTACAGAGGGAGAAACTGAGGTTCAAGGACTTGTGTCCTTGTCAAGGACTTCAAAGTGACTTGTCCAAGGTCACCCAGCAGGCCAATGGCAGAGCCAGGAATTGAGCCCAAGTCCCCTAAGACACAGTCCAGTGCTCTATCCACTAGGCTGCACTGAGTATGGAGAGCCTTTCAGCCACATTTATTACCTGCAAACATCTGCTGTGAAGATTTTAGTGGCATAGGTTTTCCTTACGATATTTCATTTTTGGACTCTGCTCAAGTGCAGCACTGTCAAGTTCCTTGCAATAGTCTTGTAAAGCTATTATAATTTCTCCAGTATGTATATTGTGGCAAATTCATTGAAGTTCTATGACAGGTTTCAGAGGAACAGCCGTGTTAGTCTGTATTCGCAAAAAGAAAAGGAGTTCTTGTGGCACCTTAGAGACTAACCAATTTATTTGAGCATGAGCTTTCGTGAGCTACAGCTCACTTCATCAGATGTATACCGTGGAAACTGCAGCAGACTTTATATACACACAGAGAATATGAAACAATACCTCCTCCCACCCCACTGTCCTGCTGGTAATAGCTTATCTAAAGTGATCAACAGGTGGGCCATTTCCAGCACAAATCCAGGTTTTCTCACCCTCCACCCCCCCACACAAATTCACTCTCCTGCTGGTGCTAGCCCATCCAAAGTGACAACTCTTTACATAATCAAGTCGGGCTATTTCCTGCATAGATCCAGGTTTTCTCACATCCCCCCCACCCCCATACACACACAAACTCACTCTCCTGCTGGTAATAGCTCATCTAAACTGACCACTCTCCAAGTTTAAATCCAAGTTAAACCAGAACATCTGGGGGGGGGGGGGTAGGAAAAAACAAGAGGAAACAGGCTACCTTGCATAATGACTTAGCCACTCATTTCGTGGGAAGCCCTTGGTGTATGCTCTGGGAGATGCAAACCCATGAAGTCTCAAGCCACTGGGACATGCGGCACCTAACTGCAACTCCCATGAAGCACCAGAGCAGCTCAGATAGATGCAGTTCACTGATGAACTGACCCAAAACAAAACATTGTGACAATCAAGAACCAAAATGTGTCATTTTACCAAAAACCTCCAAACAAAATATTTTGACACTTCCAAATCCATATTCTCTGGAATTTTCCATTCCACAAATCTTTTCCCCAAAATTTTCACCCCAGTATGTGACAAAAACAAATTTAGAAATTTCTCAGGAGACAGAAACTCTAATTTTTAACCAGCTGTAGCAGTGGTAATACATGATAATAATACTAACGACAATGAAGATGCTGCTTTGATGTGTTTGGCACATGTGCCTGCCAAAGGTTGCAGGCAGAATGTGCACGTTTTGCACTAATCAGTGTATCGGATACGTCATAACTGTCTATTAATTTCAGTCAAGTGTTGTGAATGGATATTGGCAGCATGGTAGTTGCAGCAGAGGAACCAGAAAAGTTAATGATGGTAAGCTTGGAAATCCCAACACGCTGTACGTTTCCTGATCATAAGACAGACTCTCTGTCTTTCTTGCAACCTTCACACTGTAGATTTCGTGATGGCAAAAGTCAATAGACAGACACAGTCGCCTGTTATGTACCCTGTGAATATAGAAGACTGGGAAGGAGTGTGAAGGGAAGGGAAGAGTTGAAAATGCAAATGGACAGCAACACTTGACAAATGGTTGTTTCCATTTCCATCCTACCAAACTTTTGTGTGAAATAGAGTTTTGGTGTAATCATCTTTAAAGGAGCCAAGGCAAGTCAACAGCAGCATGTAAGAAAAGGATCACTTCATGGATCAACATTCCAGCAGTTGACAGCAACGACTGGGTTCATTAAGGAATATTGACTAATATTGACATTGAGGGGGGCTTTATTAATCTAAATGAGAAATACATATTTCTGCTCCATGTGCTGCTGCTGA